TATAACAGACTCTCTGGTGACTAAAACTAGTTTTTCAAGTTTGGGCTCTTGATCTCTCACTTACAAATTTAAGCGTCAGAATATTGGTGGTTTGTTGTCCCTTGTTCTGGGGAAAAGATGTTTGCAGTCTAGTGTCAAAATAAATTAAATCCTCCCTATAGGTAATGTATGTCTCTGGGAAAGAAAAGCAAAACCCATCCTTTTATCTGAAAACAAATCAGGATGAAGTTACAGTATATGCCTGTGTTCCACTAATAAGGTTTTGATTTTCAGTCTTTGGCCATCAGATGTGGACAAGCTTTTTCTACAGGTGGCTTAACTCGGAGGAAGAGGAAAAGGGAATGTTACAGAATTTGTAGGACAGCTGCTGAAGCCCACAAAATTAGCTTTTTTTTAAAAATATAAAGTGACCAAATAATACAGAATTATCTTTTCTACCATTTTTACCAAATGTGATTAAGCTAGCTAATGCTGTTCAGAAGGAGTTTGTGACAACATGCTGTTAAGAGATGCAGTGTTAAAGAAATGTGCGTTCAGGGAATAACAAAAGAACTTAAACGACACGGTCCTCCTTGCATTTTTACCTTTTTAGTTTTCAGATATCTTTTTTTACTAAAAACTACTAGATTTTAAGCAAAACTATTTTTTTTTAGCTTACAAACAAACTTAGACGTGTTATGCCTCACCCTGATTTTCTGATTTCTCACCTTGTTTATGCTAATCTATTAGAGAGTGGCACGGGTGTAGCTGGAAATGCAGGAAGTGAGAGAGAGGGAGTTTGTGTATTCTGTAGTAAAATGTGTGAAAAAGTCCCTCTCTCTCCAGCAATTAAGAAAAGCTTTAGTTTTCTACATATATCAGTTCAGTCCTTAAAAACGATCTCTTTATGTAGAGATGCTTTCCCAGTTTTGGACTGTGAGGTGACAAGGGCACCTAAGCATGGAAATTGGCTCATTCCCTATGCTTTGGCAGGGCTGTCTTGTGCTAACTTGCAGCGTAGTGACACTGTCCTGAACAGAAGCTCCCTTCTGTCAAGACAGCTGCATCTAGGCAGCAGGGGGGCAGGTAGCTGGCAAAGGTATGCGAACTAAAGGCTGTGATCTTTTCACACCCTAAGGTGACAGAGCTTTGGCACCAGAATTGGTAGCATAGACCAGCCCACAGTGCATGGCCTGTTTTTTAAAAGGTAACAAGCACTAGGCCTGCATGAATAGGAAAGTATTTGGTTCGGATTCAGCCAATTCGGAGGACAGTGATTCGATTCGGAGATTTGGATCACTGTCCTGAATCAATTCGGCCGAATCTGCTTCGGAAGATTTGGTGCCGATTCAGAAAGGTTCGGTGATTCGGATCGGGCGGGGAGAAGCAGGCACAGCCGGGCGGCTGCAGGTCCTCCCACGGCTCCTCCAGCTGTGCCTGCCTCTCCCCGGGT